TGTGTGTGTGTGTGTGTGTGTGTGTGTGTGTGTGTGTGTGTGTGTGTTGATCAAATGTATTATGTTGGAACAATTTCAATCATTTTTAATTTACAGTTTTCGAAATTATTTAGTGCTGACAAATGAAACAGGTGTGTGTGTGTGCTCTTTCCTGGACCTTTTACTTCCTTTATTAGTCCTTTTCTACACTTCTTCTGGTCAACACTGAGACACACATGACCAGAATTTAAGTTTGATTGATTTTCCCTAAAAATGATATAATTTTAAATCTGCTATACTAGCAAAAGGCAGCAGGGAGCAGCAACATTATACACGAGCATCAAGTGCACATTTACTTCCCAAAAATTTACATACAAGTTTCAGGTATCACTTGTCTTCTTTTGATTTAGAGGCGTTTTAGTGGGTTTTTTTTTTTTTTCAGAAAGTATTTAATATTTTTCCAAGTGGCTCCCCATGACTCATAAATGTATCCGTCATCGCCATGACAAGTTTAAAGAATTTGCATTGAATTTCATTAAACATTTATAGAGACATCGTATATATTTTCCAACTGAAAGAATATTTTCAACAGGAAGCCTTCATAGGTTTTTTTATGGGCATAGAAAAAGAGACCCATGGGGCAAACACTAAAATTCAAGAACAGAAAGTGAGAGAAAATTCCCAGTTTTTCTAGTTTGCGAAGTGCTCAACTTTAAAGGGGTGGTCTGGTCATTTTTGAAGTAAGGATTTGTCAAATAGTTTTCAGTAGCTGTCATGGAGCACCAAGTGTGTGGAGAAAATAGAAGTCTTCATGCAGGCTAGGTTAAATGAGAGGAACCTTTTATACTGTTTTTCAGGCTTACAACTCTTTCTCAAAAATGATAGTTACTGTTACTATCACAGAGGTCACTGTTACAAAATCACTGTCACAGAATCACATGAGAATCACATGAGAATCACTGAGAGTCACCGAAGGCCGCTGCATATTCCATCTGAACTGCCGAAATCAGTTCTCATCGTTGCAGAGTTGCATAAYGAAAATTATGTCATTCTGCGCACAACCAAAGAGGTTTTTACCCAAGAACTTACGGCGCGATTGGTCAGAAGTTTTTGGATGTGTTTGTTTGTGCTGAAAGCTGCATTTAGCTTCAACTACTCACTTAAGAAAACAAACAAACAAAAAAATTAATCCAAACTGGGACAGATTTATGTATAAATAACAACATATCAGAGTTATTTTTTTCTCTTTTTTTCCCAGAGTGTAGACTCCAACTGTAAGGAACCCCATGCTGTGATGTATACCACAGTGGGAGGGGTTTCCCCGAAGCTCAGCACAGTGTGTCTCAGGGGCTGTGAAAGATGTGTACGAAAACGAATGCCAAACCCGAGTSGACTGTTCAGCTTCAGATGGAATATGTGAAGACCTGTCACTGTATGAGAGTCAGTGTCACAGAGGTATTGTTAGTCATTAGCCATGTGTCTATGGGAATTTTGAGTCAACTTTTAAAATGTTGCAAAAAGAAAAAAAAAGTGAATTTGGCTAATTTCCATCTAGTCTGGAGTGAATCAACCAGGCTATATGCAAAGTGTGTGATGACTGGTGTTGGTGATCTGCAGCTGTTGATAATCCTCCTTGATGAGCTGCTGACACTTCTTAAGGCTCACTTGGCATCTTGGTCTTCGCTGAAGCATCACACCATTATGGTAGTAGCTCAGTTAAAACATTYGTGCCCAATTTTTTTCAGAGTTGTAAGGCATACCATTTTATCAATTGACTCTGAATCATGTTATGTAATTGTTTTCACCATTTTGTACTTTGTTTTGAAGAAAATAGTATTTTTATGACCGGCAGCAATTATTGCCAGTGGTCACACAGCTTGTCACTAGGTCCAATGTCACCTGATCATAATAGAGAACTAATATTAATATCAAAATAATAATGTGGTCAGAAGAAATAATAACAAAAAGGTGGAGCCTCAGGTTCCTCCTATATAAAATTCACTGTCACAGTCACTGTATAACAGTCACTGTCACAGAGTCACTGTATGAGAGTCACTGTATGAGAGTCATTGTCACAGAGTCACTATATGACAGTCACTGTCACAGAGTCACTGTATGAGGGTCACTGTCACAGTCACTGTATGAGAGTCACTGTCATAGAGTCACAGTATGAGAGTCACTGTCACAGAGTGACTGAGAGTCACTGTCACAGAGTCACTGTATGAGAGTCACTGTCAGAGTCACTGTATGAGAGTCACTGTCACAGAGTCACTGTATGAGAGTAACTGTCACAGAGTCACTGTATGAGAGTCACTGTCAGAGTCACTGTATGAGAGTCACTGTCACAGAGTCACTGTATGAGAGTCACTGTCACAGAGTCATTGTAGGAGAGTCACTGTCAGAGTCACTGTATGAGAGTCACTGTCACAGAGTCACTGTATTAGAGTCACTGTCACAGAGTCATTGTATGAAAGTCACTGTCACAGAGTCACTGTATGAGAGTCACTGTCACAGAGTCACTGTATTAGAGTCACTGTCACAGAGTCATTGTATGAAAGTCACTGTCACAGAGTCACTGTAAGAGAGTCACTGTCACAGAGTCACTGTATTAGAGTCACTGTCACAGAGTCATTGTATGAAAGTCACTGTCACAGAGTCACTGTATGAGAGTCACTGTCACAGAGTCACTGTATTAGAGTCACTGTCACAGAGTCATTGTATGAAAGTCACTGTCACAGAGTCACTGTATGAGAGTCACTGTCACAGAGTCACTGTATTAGAGTCACTGTCACAGAGTCATTGTATGAAAGTCACTGTCACAGAGTCACTGTATGAGAGTCACTGTCACAGAGTCACTGTATTAGAGTCACTGTCACAGAGTCATTGTATGAAAGTCACTGTCACAGAGTCACTGTATGAGAGTCACTGTCACAGAGTCACTGTATTAGAGTCACTGTCACAGAGTCAT